TGCACGCCTGACTCGGATCAACTTTTCATGGAACTGCAGGAGAACAATTCAGATGGCAGTGGCGGCGGCGGCGGCGAAAACCCAGTGGAGAGTCGTATAAAAGTGAAACAGGCTGGATTAGGGCATGGACGGATCAACCTTGTTTCCTAAAAAGGCCTCCCCGTCGGGCCGCCTCTGCACCCACCAAGCCACCCACCCACCTATCCAGCTGGTCGGTCATCCGATCGGTGCCCGGTCAGCCTGGCAGCCAACAGGCTACTATTAGCTTCGTGGGATTTATTATAGGATGCGAGACGCACCCTGACCCATGGTCTCCTTTACGACGAAGTAAATCGACTAACATTTTATTATAGGGTGTCCGGGAGAATTTTGAAAGGTCTCAAATCGTCCTCCTGCCGGAACGTTCCGGCGTCGACGTATATGTTATTCATAAGTCACATCACCTATTTTTATCCGCGACACGACTTCGTAAGTTGCGCACCCGTCGTGAGCCTGGATTTTATAGTTCAAGCCCAACATCCTGAGTAATGCCCACGGCTGACTTGGAAGCTGCCCTCGGCGAACGCAAGAAAGCGTCCGAAACAGGCTCGGTCTTCCGTGGAGCTAATAAGTGGGATCAGCGGATATTCATGCCCAAATAAGATGGTTCGCCGCGCGATGTCGAAGCCTCGTAGCGCCCAGCAGGTTGTTTATGTGAAATCCGCTCAGCAGCGAAGTAACTTCGCGAGATTGATACAGCTCTCTCCACCCCCCTCTCCTCTCCTGTGCCCCCCCCCCTTAGTAGAGAATAGTGATAACTTGCGCAGCCGGGCTGTCGCTGAGTCTCAAGAGTTGCGTTTAAACGGCTCCCCGATTCCTGCGCATTCGCCTTGTCTCCATCTGGAAGTCCAGATCACCATTTGATGTCCAGAAACGCATAGAATAGAATTGTATCCTTGTCTCAAAGTCTATGGACGGATTTCCCCGAGACGGGAGGGAATGCCTCAATTCAAAATTGACATCCGACATAGAATGAAATAATTACCATCGTGGAATCGGAGAAACTCCGAATTCTCGTGTAGAGCACACCGTCGACTGAGCCAAAATCTCGAAAGTGACAGCAGTTGGGAATAGATGTCGGAGTGCGGACATGGCTAGACAGCTTTCCGAAAATGGAGTCCGCCATCGGGTGGCTGGTGGAGTCCGACCATAAAAGCCTCAGGGCGGAGATCACAGGGCGGGTACCACGACCGGAAGCCATGTTGGATAGTCTAATGTAATGCACTATGGCCCCAGTCGTCGTCGTCGCGGTGGAGGTTGTACTCGTCGTCGTCGTCTTCGTCGTTATGGTAGACGAGGAGCTTGTCGCTCTGGCCGTCGTCGTCGACCGCAGTCCAAGTTTGTTCACCTGGACCAGCTCTCCGATGACGAGACGAAAAAGTCGAAAAGGTTGCTCTGCAGCGGGCAAGTGGTGCTCCCGAGGAGGTCTTTGTATTTCGGATTTGGAGGCAAAAAAAGAGCGGCGAATTCGTGCTCTACGAGCGGTGTCGCTTAATCGCATTACGAATCACACACACACCCCACATACGGGAGACGCTCTCAAAGAGACAAACAAAAACATAGCTCGCAAAACTTTCGTACGGAAGGCTTTCAAGCCTCTGATTTGGAGAAACAACCACTGCGCGGAAAGAACAGCGAGCAGTAAGAGCGAATGTTGTTGGGTTTGTCTCGCAGGATTTAGCACGAAATCCTCAACTTCTTGCACAAACAGAGCTCCCCGGTCGCCCTTTGCGGTGGCCCCCCTGGCTCGCGAGCTTGCTGTCTCTTTTACTCCCGCCGCTGCCTCCCTTCGCGATGTCACGGACGCTCTCCCTGCCCGCTCTCCACTTGTACCCAAATTAAGCTCACCGAACGTGCATTGATGTTCCACTCGTTTTTCGGAAAATCGTCGATCGTATCCTGCCCGTAACTCTTCCCTAAGGTCCCGTTCTTCATCCCCGCGACTTACAATCAAAGACAAAATTTCGGGCATTCGTCATCCGGGAGCGACTGCCACGGAACGTAGGAACGCACGCCTAAAGAAGCAGGAACGGCGGACGTATTCGGGAGCAGGAACGGCAGACGTATCCGGGAGCAGGAACGGCAGACGTATCCGGGAGCAGGAACGGCGAACGTCTCCGGAAGTCTGGGTATCGTGCGCATCGCAGGGAAGATACTCCGGATCATCAGAGACTCGTTCAGCTTCGGGATCATGGGGATGGAGAGATACCTTTTCCAAATCCGACGGCGGGTCGAGCGATCGTAAGCTGATTTTTTGTGAACGGAAACTCGATATGGGCCGCGAAAAAACTCCATGCAGTGATCCGCCATATGATCACTGTACAGTGTCGTCGGTGTCTCAAGCCGAATGGCTTTTGTCTCTGGTTTCCCGATTAGGATCGGAGCACCCTGTGTTCCGAGAAGTTCATGGAAGGAAATTACCCAGCGGTCACGCTCGGAGGGGGGCATTCAGAATCTTCTCCCACCACGTACATACGTCCGGGGACTTTGGATGAGAAGGGGAGACGATAAAGAATAAATTACTCGACCTCATCGTCCCTCTGATCGGCACGCATCGATTTTTTAATTGAATGCTCCCACCAAGCCTTTATACTTTTTTGCAAGGGACACTTGAGACTCACGAGACCATCGGAACGATAATTCGTGGGAAACTTCGATCCGTCGTTTTCCTTCGTCAGAATCGTCTTAGTGCAGAGGGGGAGTAGTGAGCCGCGAACACGAAAACCGTTTACAGGCTTCGTGAATGACAGAAAGAAGGGAGCGACACGAAACGAAATAGTTCGATAGATGAAGGGTGTGTCCCGCCTGCTTGATAATCGACACCCGACACATAGCTCGACCAGCCTCCAATACCCGGGAACTGACTGGTTAGTCGACTGCTTGGTGCACGAATCTGATTGACGTACATCTTCCGCCTCGACAGACTTCCTCCAGCATCGTCGACATTAACAGCCAACCGACCATCCCCCACCCACTTTCCCGCCGGGAGGGTGAAGAATAGGGAACCGAGTCGACCACGACAGTCAACGACCGACCAACCAACAGGAGAACTCCTTGGAGAACACTTGTCGTCCTAACTCTTGCTTCGCTGGAAACGAGCGAAGTGAAAGGGCTGAGCGAGTTAGTCTGATAGAGGCTGGGCAAGCGGGGGGGCAATTAAGTCCGACTGAGCCCGGACCCCGAGAGGTTGAGCACTCCTCTGAGGAAAGTCAATACTTCATTACGGCTGATGAAGCTTGTTTTTCCGCCACGAAAGTCGGCCGATACGCGGCCGTTCGTGGTTTCGTGGGATTCGTTCCATTCGAGATCATCGCGATCGATTCCGAACCCGACGGGAGAGGAGCCCAGAGACGAAATTCTCTCGGAGTCGTCCCGGAGCAGTTCTCACTGGACGATTTTCGCTTCTCGGGAAAAACTCGTTGCATCCCTCGTCCGCGATTCCATTCGGCTGCCGGCAGGCAGCGAAAGGTGGGCGCAAGTCGAACGGAATTCTCTATTTGTCGACTCGACTCAGGAAGAAAATTTTTCCGGGGCTCGACTACCGGTCCATGATCCCGCTGTCAGACGCTCGAATTTCCCGTATCACATCCGGTGACCGCCCGAAGTGGTCAAACGAAAAGAGCAGGGAGGACAGAGATATGGAATTCAGCTCAGCCGAGCGAGACTAGCCGAGTCAGTGGACGAGGAAAAGCGAGGAGCGACGAGGAAGGGAATGTCAATTCACTTGTCAGTTAGGTCGAGCTCCGAGGTTACTGCCGGAGATGGGATCCCGCCGCGCTTGGGCAGTTGTGGCCACTGTTAGTTGACTCGCTCACATATCCGGGACACCTCTCCCAGCGGTTCCTACGGAACCGCCCCAACACCGAATCGACTTTGAGTGCGTTCAGCTGTCGGTTCTATTCGAAGCCCAAATCCCGATTCGATTGAATTCACGTCACAACTCACTATCGACTGCAAACATGGAATCTGCTCGGACACGTATAACCTGGGATACCATTCGGCGTCGGAGGATGAGAGGAGATGAAATTATTCAAAGCAAATCCCAAGCCCGGCGAATAATTTCTGAACTTCGCTTCCCTCAGTCTCGAGTCCGTGAGAAACCCCAGGTCTGAGCCAGGCCCAAGCCGGGCCTGCCGATCGGTAGTCGAATGCGGTGGCGTCGACAAATCTCAGCATGGACCAGTGAGCGAGCGAGCAGTATTTCAGTCGAAGTCAAGACGATTGGATTCGGTCGTGAGTAGGCTCTCTCCATCTCTCTCTATTTTTCTCTTCTGACCCACAAAGCGCGGAAATCATCGAAGCGCGTCATACGCTCAGGCTCACGAGCCTCTTCAACATTTACGAGGCATACGACCCCAGTTTATGGCTTAACCATAGATTGTTGGTCGTGGACAGATTTCGGACTCCAATATCCGAAGCTCGCGCGCCGTGAGGCATAACAAACATTATGACCCAATCGAGTCCCATATGAATGTAGGTGACACCACTTCGGAGTGCCGTCAACGATCGGTTACATGAGCGAGAAGCTCGTCCGCAAGCCCATATGTCCGAATGTCGTTCAGGACCCAGGAGGGTACGAAACGCGAACATCTGGTGATGATCGAGGGTTCAAGATCCTCGATCAGAGTCTCAACGAGAATCCTGCGGCGGAAGCGGTACTTCGGCATTGGCTGAATTTTCCGTCAACTTCTTCTCGGGATGCGGCTCGGCGCCCTGTGTGCGGCGGTCTCGACTAAGAATTCGTGGAAGAATGAAAATACCCAAGGGAGAAGCTGACAGGGTGGAATTCAGTCTCGGAGATCCTTTCCTCGGGGAAAATCCAACCTTGAATTAGCCTTCCGTGGCATATTTGAGCGAATTGAGAGTTAAGAGCGAAGGCCCGAACGACCTTGAGCCCTCGCCTGGCGAACATCTCTCTGTCGTTTGGACGTTCCGCCGTCACAAGCACCTAGCATAACATCGCCGTCGGCTTCCTGCCCGTCCACCCGTTCGCCGGTACATTGGGCAAGTTCAATCGTTCGTCCCTCCAGCCGCCCGTGCGTCTTCCGGCACTCGGGATTTTGGGATAGGCTGCGACATAATTTCTTGCGCTGGAAAGTGTGCGGAGTCTTCGCGAACGCCACGAAGAGATCCACCGGAATCTATCAAGATCCTGGGATTCTCGCAGTGGAACACCGTCGCGAAAGGAAATGTCGGATCGTGCCTGCGTTCACTGTGGCCATCGTGAGGGCTCCTGCTCGGGATCCCCGGTCCCGCCGCCTGGAGACCGGGGCCACCTCTGGGACTGGTTCGATCGGAAGATGGAGGAAATGCACGAGGACCTGGTGCGCGAGCGCGAGAAGATCTTCGGACCCACCTTCGGCGACGTGAGTAGCAGAAACTTCTGGTACATTCTGCACAGCTCCCTGCATTTTGGAATATCCCAGCTGGCCCTCCCAGAATTTTTTTGCGGAGCTCGACTCAAAAAGCGTGGTTCAGCTCCCAGTTGCGATGGGTCGAAACTCACATTTCGAGATCGTTCGCTCGGAAGCAGCTGTGCCTTTCGATCTGAGCGAGAGAGATGGCTTCGAATAATTCCATGACACACCGAATCAGCATAGAACATTTCTGAAAAGATCAAGGCCGTAACGCATCGAGACGAAGCTTGCGAGGAAAGATGATTTGGACGATCGCCTTCATAAATAGTTTGTGATCTAGACAGACAAGCCCATCGGTCGCAGATCGCTGTTCATGAAAAGTTTTTGACGAGACTCGAACGATCGCGGTATTATATTTTTCCGCAAATCACATCGACTGGCTCGGAATCCCGCGGCGCGGCTCGCATCTTCTGTCTGCCCCGAAGTACCTGCGAATAATTGAACTTCGAAGCCGAACGTGTATCGCAGTTTTTTCTCGGGATATTCTTTTTCTCCTCGTTCGGGTCGAGACCAGACTATATGGGATTGATTCCGCTCGGTGGATTTCGGCATTTCCGGCTCGAATTAAACCGCTTGTTGTTTCTCCCGTGGTACTCGACGAGCGTGACATCCCTAATTTGTTCGATTTCCTCCACCGTAGGTTCGCGGTTTCCTAAGTCCGCAGCGACGTCAGAGAATGTTCGACACGATGTTCCCGGACCGACCCGGATACCACATCGGAGCTCCGCAACCTCCACGCTTCGAGAGAGATACGAAAAGCGGTCTCATGAGACTGGAGCTCGAGACCGGAGAGGAAATCACCCCGGAAGAAGTCGAAGTCAAAGTGCATGGACGCGACGTATCTTTCCACGCCAAGCACGAGAAACGGAGCAACGATGGAAGAGACTATTCGTTCAGGTCAGTTCCTCCGGAGCACACTTGAGGGTTCTCACAGCTGATGAGATCGTTGTGATTGTTGTCTTCGCTCCACGCATCCACCTGAGACTTCTGTATTCATGATGCCGCTCGAATAGATCCATAATTATGTTTTCTGCACCTGTTGTGTCAGTCGTGCCTACGGTAGGGGCCGAACAGAAAAGCTCTCAGAAGTTCTTTTCTGCAAAACGCGTTCGTCAATCATGTAGTCGCGCGGCCTGTCGCTGCATGCATGCTTGAGTGACTGACTGGCTAACTAACAGCAGCACAAGGTCATTCGGTGCGGAGTGCGTCACTCAAAGCCTAGGCAGTTCTAGACCTAGGTCACGTTCACGCGGCGCCGACCGCGGCATCCGGCCACAGACTTGCATCGCTGTCGAGAACTCGGGGAAGAATTTAATACGTACGCGAGACGTACTCACAGACACGAACGAATAGTTGCGGAGATTGACGAGTAGCGGACGGATTGGAGCGCCATAAATCAGCGAGAAAAGAATCCGACGTCTTCTTCAGATTACCCGTGACTCGTCATTGTTCGAAACGAAATCGTTCCTTAGATCTTCCTAATGCTGCTTACTATACCATTCACTGCTTTTACGACGGCTGATCCCGTGGCATTCTGTTGAGTTGACGTTCAGTCGTTCGATAAACGGGCGTCCGTATACGTTTTGTCTCACCAACCAAGAGCGCGCGAAACGGTCAACTGGCATCGGCGCGCCGCATTCGCAACTCAGCCATGTGTTCGACCCTCTCGGGAAATCCCTCGATGCGAAGAAGAATCATCTCTTATTTCACGAACAACATCAGTATTCGGAGAGATCGGCAGGTCTCCATCCTAACACTTGAAAGGATAAAACCTATCAAAAAAGTATCGTCTCCTCGACCCCTTGCGAGCGGCGGGCTACAACGAGCTCTGTCCCCTAATAGCTCCCCAAGGTCTACTAGCTTCCGTGAGACTCAATTCATCGATAATAATTACATAATGTGCGCCATCCACTGATGTCCGACGAGTCATGAGTCGGCATGCTGGTGATTGACTTAATACTCATCATTGAGTCGCGACGTCGGCTTCATTGACGAGTTATTGGAGTTCGATATTAATGATACTAACTACGCTCGCCTGCAATAGACGCAGTCTCACGAAGCCCCGAGCATATCGGCAGCTCTTAATTGGCGGCAATGGGTCGATTTCGATTGTAGGAGAAATTCCCGCTGGCGACAGAGAGTAAGTGATGAATTCAGTGTTCAAGGGGAGCTCGCTTCGAGCGCTCGATCGACTGATATAGGGAGCGTCTTCTATAGACACTCATGGAAAGCTCCTTCCCACAAAGAGATTCGAAGGGTCTGTGCTCCGGGGCTAACCCCCGCGTTGACCATAATTTTCGCAATCGAACTTAACAGCGCCGGAGTCACCCCTCGGTGAGCTCGGACCCGGTGGTGACGTGATTGGGAAGCTCCGCCATACATGACGGGCCACGCTCGTCGGCGAATCTGAACACCTCGAATAAGATCAGAGCATTCCCCAATCGAAATTCGTCAACCCAATATCCGACGCAGAAAAATCAATGAGTTGCGTCTGAGGAGCGGGGAGCAATAGCCTGCGCGGAAACGAAACGTTTCCGTCGAAGCGATCGAAACAGTGATCGATCGTGATTTTCTGGCCATGGAGAACTGGGAGCTTGAACGATGTTTTGTCACGCTCCGACGTGTCTCGGCAGAAGTCACCTCGGGTCTGAAGCTACGTCTCGATTCACACAAAAAATTCATATTCTAGCGGTGGAGGAAGGCTGGCTGATTACCTGCGACTCCAGAGGGTCCCCATTGATGACCGCATCTTTGTTTTATTTTTCCAGAGAGATCCACCGTCAGTTCCCCGTGCCCGAGGAGGCGAATATCGAACGTCTAGAGGCGAAGCTAGAAGGTGGAAAAGTGGTGCTGACGGCACCACCATTCGACGTCCGTCGGAAGAGGAAGGACGAACTGGAGATCCCCGTCAAAGTCCTCCGGAGCGAACTCTAATCGCATGATTGTAGACTCTGCAGTCGCATGAGCTATCGGCGCAATCCCGAGTTTGTTTCCATGGTTTGGATGCCGCGTTCCTCGAGAAGCAGTTGCGTTTGGAGGTTCCTACGTGTTGTGCCAGTGTGTGTTTCTGCCAAGAAGCGATTCGGCCCGAACCAGAAGCTCGAATCCAACAGGAGCTTAGATGCGCAGCTCTGGAAAAGCCACAAAACTGCCTCAGGGCACTGTTTGTGTATTGAAGAGGCAGCCACGTAGTAGAGCCGACCCTCTGTGTCTTTATCGATGCCTTTCTTGTTCGACGAAGCACCACAGATCTTCCTTCCAAATATTTATTCACCCTCTCGGGAAGAGATATTCGCTTTTTCGGTCCGGGGCGGGCGGCTCGTCAAAGGAGAATCAGTCCGTGGGTGATTCTTCACGTCTCAGTCCATGCATCCATTCATCTATCTATGGCCTGGTCGTCGCACCACTGCATGTTTCCTTCTGATTGTGCGGCGGTCCCTTTTCCCTCAAACCATGGGTTGTGAGACCCAACTCTCTTCTCCCTACGTTCGTGGAGCAAAACACACCACCACGCATCCCCGGCACAACACTGTGCGCGAAGAGCGCTCGGAGTCGTCATGAGCAGACCAGCCATCATCGTAAACCCTATATTTACATTCAATGGTGTGAATCAATAAAAACAAGCGTTGTGTCCTTATGTCCAGTGTAGGTCCGTGAACGGTAAAAGATTCGGCATTCCTACATCGAACGACCGTGGGCGCCCTCCCATAATTATACATACATATGTATTTCCCACTCGCTCCGAGGATTGATTATTTCCTCGAATCAGACCCCGGGTCCTTTGAGCATAATATCTGCAGAGTCATTCTTCCCCGTACACTCAGGAGTTCATGAGCCGGTGCGATTCCCGGGGATTCCGTCCGGTGCCCCAGCACTACTCCAGAGTCTAGAATTCAAGAGGATCAGGGTCTTCAGGTTTTCTGGTTGGCCTGCCTGGAATTCGACTCCATCGGAATCGCAGGGCGCCGGACAATCGAGTTCGAGATTCCCCAGCATTTCGGGTATAGTTCGTCGAGCGGATCACTCCAAATCGAGCCCGCAGTTTGAATTTTTTGTGAGGGAGTCTTCGCACACTAACGGAGGCCGCGAATGTGGATACGCCTCTGCGTCGCGGAATCAACAAAGGTCAAGGCTGGAGTGTCTTGAGAGCCGAGACAGTGGAAAGGGGATTTCTCCTGAAAGCATCGCGAGCTCGGGCCCAAGACCCTCCGGCCGGGTGTCGACCCCTATCATCGAGGTCGAATCTTCGAGTCTAGCGTTAGATTGACTTTCCGTTCGTTTCCTTCCGATTGCGTCTGCCCTAGCGGATTCGAAAAGCGTTCTACATTCACGAAGTTTCGGGAGGCTTGTAGCGGCGTAAGGGGGTGAGATTGCGCCCGAGGCGGATCTCCAGAATCGCACTTCCCCTCAAGCACTGCGTACCCTGATTCCGATTTACACGCGGAATTTTTTTGGATTTTTACGTTTTTCAGTTTTCCACCACCGAGAATGCAGCCTCTCAGCGAAATCTCGACGAACCTGGGACTGGCCGGAGAAGTGGCATCCGGGGCGCCCTTGACCCCCTCCCCTCCTAGTCACCCTTCCGGAGGCTTGCTGAGGGGACCCCCATTAGCATCTACATGGCCTCGTAGCACGGTACAGCTCGCGAGGAGGGAGGGTCTCGCCTACTTCTCCTCGTCGTCAAGTCCTGTGAGAAGAGTTCCTCTAACCGTCGTGTAGATCCATGCGCACTTCGCTAAATATCGGACTTGTATCGGTCTCAGCTTGAGTCGTGCTTTAAATTATATATCGTTTTTATTATAATATTTCTCCCATCAACATGAGCATTTCATCGATCTCAATCATTCGATTAGCGGCAAGTCATTTTCTCTTTCGATCTCTCGCCTATAGAACTCGATTACTCGTTATAACTTTAAAAATCTCCAGATGCAAATGCGTCTCTGTGTGTTCGTTTTGGGTAATGCGTTGTTCTCCCTGCAATGGTTGCTCACCTCGTGTTTCTTCTCGTACACCAATCTTCCCTGGTGAATTTAGAGAGGAATAAGAGTCCAGGGACCCATATCGGAAAACCATGGACGTGACCTTGAGTGCTTCTTCTAAGAACAATAAATGATTTCGGAGATTCCGTACGCGGGAATCTTCGCCCGGGAAAGAAGCGGCAGCCGTCAGTGTTCTATCTAGGAAAGCTCAGATGCAGGAGCCGCGGCGTTGGGAAAGTTGATTTGGTACATCATATTAATGAGTCTAAATAATGAAAGCAGGAACTTCATGTGTACAATGATTCGACACAGGCACAAGTGGTAGTTCGAATTATTCTAATGATGACAAGAGGTGTATATAACGCTACACAATATTCCGGATACAGGATACACGTCTATCCGTCTATCTATGAGTTTTGATCTTCTTTGTTCGTAACTCAAAGAGTCGAATTCGACGATAGACTGCTATGCGTGGAGGAGGTCATCGTCGTGATCGAAGTCGACATCAGGTCGCAGCCCGAGGGAAGGAATCCCGAAACGTCGAGCGGACACACTAGAGTTTGATCGCACTTCTTTTTACTTCGACGACCAAGCGTTCCCTTGGGGAACTTTATCTTCGTCGAGGGAGACAACGGCACCACCGAAGTGGCCTCGTGTCTCCGTTTCCTTTGGATAATTGCATCACCCAGCAGAGATTTCAGCTGTTGCGTCAGATGTTTCCTCAACAGAGTCTTCGAAGTCCCGATGTTCAACAGCTCGGCGAGGAGGTTTTCACCCAGACTGTCTTCGTAGACAAGCAGAGCACCGTGGATCCCGGAGCCTCGCAAGTTCGGTGCGTACTCGGAGAGATCTATATCTCTCAACCATTGCATGAGCCGGTGGTTGGTCCAGAGGGAGACTTCTTCGACGCTATCCTTGGTTTTACCCGTGGAGCGCCGCTTCAAGCATCCCGGATCGAAGTTCGTTGTCCGCAGCACGTAAATGCCCCACTTCAAGCTGAGCAGCGAGAGCTGAGAGTTGATCTTCAGAATGCCGGCGTCGTCGAGCGTCATGTTGTGCAAGATCAGACCGTCCACTCGAGCTTCCTGAAAAGCATCCGTGTACTGCGGTAGACCGAGATCATCCAGCCAGGACAATGCCCACTTGGTGTCGAGGCAAATTGCGCTCTTCAGAAGAGAATCGTTCTTGATGAACACGTCGAGGGCCAGCAGGAGTTTCCGCTTGTGCAGGGGATGTTTCACCGTGGCTTGGAAAGCATCGCTCTTCAGCAAGTGGATCAACGCCTCTCCCGTGTGCACGGTGAGCAGATGCCCGTCGTATAGATCGTACAGATCCAGCTGCTGGAAGAAGCTTATGATGCATTTCTTGTCCCATTCGTTCAGAGGTCGTTTCAGGTGCTCGTTGGATTTCCATCCGCAGAGCCGAGGCATGGCGGTCGCTCGCATCGAAGAGTTCCGTTTGAAGCTTCCGATCGAGGAATTCGAGGCGGAGTTGCTCCTGGAAAGTTTTCCGAGGAGCTTCATGAACTTCTTGGGACCGCTCGTGTGGTTTATTATGGGCTGAGTGGGTGCTCCGTTGACAGGCTTGACCACGCGGTCTGGATTGGCCAGCTCGGGAGCCGACGTACTTCGGCCTTCGAGGGTCTTCAGTTGACCGTTGAGTTGGTGCAGACTCTGTTTGTTGACGCTGACGCCATCACCGCCGCTCGGACCACCGCCGGAGGAGGCGAACGTCGGTGGTTTGTAGTTCCGCGGCAACGTGCTGTAGAGCGACTGCGGAAACCGCTGGAAGCGGTCGTCCGCTTTGCGCTGAGCGGACGGACTAGCGGCGATCGTGTTCGAATACACGGGACTCACAACGACGGGGCGGGGAAGCGGTGGTTTGTCTGCGTTGGTGGTTCGAGTGGGTGTGCAGCTCCTCGGACCGGACAAATCGCCTCCCGTCAGGTTGCTCAACGTTCTCTGGAAACCAGATTGGAGACTCTTGAGGCGCGCCGTCAACTCGGCGCGTTCTTTCTCCGAACGGAGCAGCTTCAACTGCATGGCGGGTACGTCGCTCATCAATTGCAGTTTGTCGCTCTCGATTCGCTTCCTCATCCGCACCTCGATGATCAGCTGTTCCTCTGCGGCTTCGAGTTGAGCTGAGCGCCGATGCAGCTCCTGGCTGAGACTCTCGATTTCGGCTCGCTGCATGGCGACGGTCTGCTGCAGCTCGAAAAGTTCTTTTTTAAGATCGATGTTTTCGTTTCGTAACGAAATCTGTTCCGAGAGGTCGTCGGTCTCGGATTTGTACAGTGGAGATTCCAGAACGACCGGTTTCGCCGGCTCGGCCGTAGACGGGGAATACGGAGAAAGACTTTTCGAGGGACGTTCCAGCGATCGGTAGACCGCACTGCCGTAACTCGACCTGTGATCGTTACCGCCGACACGACCGCTATTTGTGCTGCTGCTGCTGCCTCCGCCATGCTCGGGCTGGTTATTATCGACTTCTGCGGAAGCGATAATGCTGTCCATTTCTTTGAGGGCCGCGGCCAGCACCTGACTGGCATCGGCCAGGGCGGGCGAATTCTCGCGCTGCAGATACGCCATTTCTGTGGCCTGAAAACAAAATTGATCTGAATATTCAGCTCGCCGTCCCATCCATAAACGGAGGCTTATGGGTCTCGGACTCGAGAGGTTTGTTTGACCGGCTTATCTTTACTGCGCGACTCTGAGCTCTCGGAGCCTCTGACGTTATATCGCCGTCGCTGCTTTCGCTGCACCGATCCCTGGCTAAACAAACACTGCTCATATTGAACTTGGGAGGCCTTCCCCGGATAGGGCTTAATAGTCCTCCGGCGATGAATTCGGGAAGCACAGAGAATTCCAGCAGTCATCATCAGAATTTCGAATTATAAACACGAGAGACACCGCGATTTCGATACTTTTCCGGCAGCGCAGCGGTCGACTGCCGCCTCCACTCTCATCTTCGCTTTCGGCAAGAACCTAGAGAAACCTCAGACGGTTCTATTCCCTCGGTGCGACGTCGATGATTCCTCGAAATCCATGAGTTTCCGATGTCCGGACACGGGGAGTCCCACTGTGCACTGTTTCGAACACTCGGCAATAATTCCCGCAGTGATCCACAGTCGTGACCAAAGTTTTCCAAAAAGTTTCACCTTGCTCAAATATGGCTGAAGACTCTCTGTATTCCGTGAAGATCTTCAACAATGACTTCCAAGAGCTGTTCCTGGTGTTTTCATAGCTCACCTTAGGGGAAATCACAAGATCCCAACTCCATTTTCTTCCCTTGGCCGTGCAACAGTGACTCTTCGAAGAGTCGATGGAGCAGCGCGACTCCGGGCTACTATCCGACGGTTAGGCGATGCATCGCTAACTGACGGAGAAACACCATGGCTTCCCCGACACAACCCGATATGGAGCTCAAAAAAGTAAGGAAATTCGCATTTAATTGAATTGCAAGCGATTCCCCGTATGTGTGAGATGATTCCCAGGGGCGTTCATCATCGATCGGAGCAGGAATTTCAGTGACTTTCGCTGCGGCACGCCGCATTGCATGGAAAATTGAGTTCCTGCTGTCGCAGACCTGCCGTGATCGGACGTCTCCATGAATCCCTTTTTGGGAAAATTGTCCACTAAGTTTTCCCAAGCAGCTCTAGAAGTATTCTCGCTACACAAGGGTGATATCAACAATGATCAGGATCATTGTCCCTGCCAGGGAGTGCTTCTCAGACCTGCGTTCGATGATAGATGTGCGTCGCTCCGAGTCACATGGACAGATCGCTCGAACCGCAAGCTGAAACCAGTGAATTGCACCCGTTTCCGAAGCTTTCGAGTCCGGGTTGAACATTTGCCCTGGTATCCAAGTCGAGCCCCGATGGGCAGCTTAGGCTTGCCAGTTTCTCAGTCTTCGGAAGATATTCTTCCGTTCCAAATCCGAGAAATCATGTGATTTGAATCAAGCGATACTCCACAGGCTGTCAAGGAGCTGAAGCAGAAGATGATCGAGTCTCGGCGGAAGATGAACATTGCTGAGATGCAGGTGAATCAACACAAAGTCCTCGTACAAAAGAACGCTTTGATCAAAAATGTGATTTCCTCCTACCCCGACGAGAGCCGCATGTTCGAATCGGTCGGAAGAATGTAAGTCACTTCCTGGCACTATATTCTGATCAACTTCAAGCTTTCAATCCGGACTCGATAGGCCTGCCCTCGAACCGCCTTGGCCCAACACAACCCTAAGATCACGAATTCCGTTCTTCCAGGTTCATGCTGAGCAATAAGAAAGATTCCTTGACCAGGCTGGATGAGCGGAGCAAGCTGGCGCGGGAGAAAATCGAAACTTTGGAGGGGAATCAGAAATATTTAGAGAAGAGTCTTAAAGATAGCGAAAACAATCTCCGTGAGATGATCGCGAGCAAAAAGGCTGCCGTCTGACGATTGAGCCGTTCTGTTTATTTGTAAAAAAAATCCTAATGGTGTCTCCCCTTTCAATAAAGCAGAACTGGGCACATTCGTGCTCATGAGTGAATCGATTGCTGTGATTGTCTTCTATTCGACCTCGGTCCGGAGATTCCGAGCGCTACTCACCCCTCGCGTTGAAACTTGTCGGTGCAGGCTGTCACTCCGCGATAGAGTTCAGACCGTCTGAAGATTGCTCGGAGAATACATATATCTCTCAGGGAGTTGTGCGGAATCGGCATACATGATCGATTGGTCCCGATCTGGTGGACGCCCATCGTTTCGCGAAGAGCGATCGCTGTTGTGAAGCGGAAGCATGCGGAGGCGTTGCGTCGGAGTAATAAGATTTCGTCGTTACCGACCGGCGCAGCGAACTGTTCTGTTCGACTGAGAACTCCCAGTGATAATCTACTAGAAGGACCAGACACATTCGCTAGGAATGAGCGCTTGGGACTCACGGTGATTCTAGAATAGCGGTTCTCGAACGAACTGACCGGCAGCAGCTTACGGTCGACCGAGTTCGGGAGAAAATCACTTCTTTACATGCATCAGAGACTATTCGATCATTAGTGTTGTATCGTAAGAACGGATGGAATTAACTCCAATGCTCTCCGAACGATTTAGAATTCCGGAATTGAATTCGCTTAGAATGCTCGGGTTCCTCAAGGTTTAATGTTTCACTATTTATTGCGGAGATTGGGAAGCCTCATCCATCGACATCGCCAGCATCGGCGGTCGGGACGCTCATGAATTCACTTCATTCATTTCAATCAGGTGATCCAAAGAAATGCCCCTCGGCAATGCTACGCTGCCCTCGCGCTATTTGATCCAGATTGCATGAACCGCATCGGTGACAAGATACCGATTTACACTGATTGAAGGACGATGAAATCCAGTAAATGATGCAGGATACTTGAATGATGATGAAACTTTGGTAGATACAGTTAAGTTTATTTTATGTTCAAATTTACAATTCACTGCTCCTCTGAGAACAGTGCCGCCACATCATCATCATCATATACTCAGCGTGCTTCCTAGAACGAATCGACGGCGCAATTTGCCGTCGACGACGGATTTCCATTTAACCGACCGACCGACTGACTGACTGTCTTACTGACTCATTGTCCGAATAAGCGAGGGACCGACCGGCTGCCCGCAGGCCAAACTGACCGGTCGGAAATCGAATCGGCGGAATCATGTATACTGTCACCGAAGCGCCGCTACATTCAACCGTGATTTGCGCGAGAATTTCCGGTCTACGCTCCTCGTCAGGTCGTTCAGCTTCGCAGACTCATTCTCACCGACCATTCCTATCAGGTTACCATCATCGAGTTCATGGGAGAACAGGCGACGAGGTGTTCTATTAATTCTTACCATACTCTCGCGTACTTCTCAACTTTAAGAGCCTATGTACAACTATAGGATGCACCTAACAGGATGCGGGGTACACATCGAGTGTGCCTTCACGGACTATCGTTGAACAAATGTCCAGAGAAAAAGGTGTCGATTGAGGAGAAAAAAACAATAAATTCGAAGGAAAGTCGCAAGCTTCCGATCGTCAACTTGTGGGGGTGACATCCGGCCGAGATTGGTCTTGGTTAGCACGCGGTCCAGATTGGGGTCGAATAGGGAATTGCCTTCGTTCCTAAGTTTCTCTTTTCTTTGCTGAATTCCGATTGAAATATCCGAGTCATCAATCATGTCAAATGTCCAAAGATTGATGAAACAACAGCTCTCGGCGGCGGTACCAACCTAAAGTGAAACAGGGGTAGAGGTAACAACTCAACGATTCGAGAGCGAAGATCGGGCTACCGTCGACGCTCCCCCTTCAAGGGGTAAACTACAGTATAATGTATAGATAGCTAATCAATCTAACTACAGGTTCCTTCAACGGTCACGAGTGGTAAATGAAGGAGAAATATGAGGTTTCCAGGGAGGAGGTCGTCGAGGAGAACCCTGTCTGATCCTGAACCTCTGTCTCCGAGTTCAATTTGGGTCTGTCACCGCCGAATTTCCCTGCTCATGATCGTGATTCCTCCTCGAAACGATCTCCTTCCCGTTTCAATTGTCCTAAATATCAACAATCGGGTAGGTATGTGTGTTCTGCTGGATGCCTGATCGCATCCGAAGCATTTCTCTTTGATTGTAAGGAAGTCCCTCGACGATATTCGTATTACAGTAAGTAGTGCTTCGGATGTTGTGATCGCGTCATGATCACCATCGTTAGCGATAAATGATCTTACAGGCGTTCCGTTCAGGTTGCTGCGGAAGAGTCGAGGAGGGTTCAACGTGCCTGTCGCTGGACTCGCCCCCTCGCTCATCTATTCGAGTAAGAATTGGAGAATGCAGCTCGAAAATTCTCAAATCAACAAATTAATTGCTCAACACGATAAGCCCGCTCCTAGCGGGTCGGCTCCCGACAATCGACTAGACGACACCATTTAACGATTTTTCGCTCCCGCGCCGGCGACTGGAGGATCTTGGTCTCGCGGGAATATTCAACATTTCCATTCCTCAAGTTCATGTCGTTCATTCCTCAAGTTCTCAGCATGTTCACGCTCATGATCAAATAAGCAACAACAATTACCACCGGATCAGAGGCAATAAACTCGAGTCCGACACCCGGTTTTCAGCACGGTAGGCATTCACCATCCCAACAAACTCCGATCGATGGCGATAGCAGCTGAGTCGATATTTTCTTGTTTGTTTTTTCTTTTTTCGTCGTGCTTCCGCCAACAGTTCAACTATTCAGAGATATCACAAGTCTATCACTACGGTCGTTTGTCATTCCGATAGAACTCATAGTCATCATGATAGTAAATCGTTCCCGCGTTCTGAGTAATAGTACAATAGTCGTAGTTCCTAGCCAGCGATCCCTGCGTCATACGGAGTCGAGCAACAGGATTCGCGACGACATTCCGATGCGGCACCTGGCCGATGGTTCCGTCGCCGCGCTCTCGCTGATGCTGCTGCCGCATCTTCACACGATGACCTGCTGCTGATGAGGGATTTGCTTGTCATGGCAACTGGGCGCGGAGTCCTGTTCGACTATGGCCAGAATTTGAGTGCAGATACCTTCGACGGTACCGTCCCCAGAGTTCAATAATAGACGTTCCAAGAGACCGATTCCTTTCTCGTCGATCAACATGGCGCAGTACCGTTTGGCTGTAACGGGATGAAAGTTTTAGGGGAAAGCCGCTTCCATTGGCGATTGCGGGCGACAGTCTCACTCTCCAAATTCAAGAGGATAAAATCCTGACGAGTCGGGACGCGTAATGTTCTCCGCTCGGTGAAGCATACAAGCAGGATCGTTCTCCGGGGTCGTGAACTTACGATTTTTCGAGCAGACGTGATGGATAGCCCAGACAGCCCAGAGCTGAACCTGCGGCGAAATTCGGGCTTCGAGAAGGGGGAAGAACGGATTGAAAGAGCGATATGCGACCATCTCGGTTTCAGGACTCTTCCAGCTGTTCACGGCTTCACCCTGGAACACGATCGTTGTCTCAACACTCCGATTCCCGCGAATTTCAGTGAAACCTGAGTTTCCCAGGCTCGCGATATATTTCGATGGAACATCCGGGGATCTGGTCCCTCGGCTTTAGAAGAACTATCTCTCGCTTACAAGTTCATTGACCATGTCTTCGTATGTACACATGTTGAACCTCCAGGCCTCCGGTCCATCGGAAGCCAGATGGGCTACGATCCCGGCCGCGAAATACGAAACGTCTATATGTTGCGAATGGAGAAGCTTCCGTAGCACGAACAAAAAGTCGTCCTTCATGAGCTCGACCCTCAACTGAGCGACCTCGGCGATGTTGTTCAAGAGGCCGAGCACTTTTGTCTCAACAGATCCGTCTCCTTCAGAAAATGTTTCTAAATTAGAATGAATGTTTTCACTTGGGGAAAGTAAACTGCTCTCGACCTGCTGCACCATGAAGGGGAGCATTAATCCACGAGATAATTGATGCTTCTAGTGTGTCACGCTGAGCGTACCTTCGAATATTGCGAGGACTTTCATGAAGAGCTCCATTCCACCGAGAGATAAGAACACGGAACAGGTTTTCGGGGATTCATCGGTTAAATTCCACAGCGCAGAGAGGGTGAATTTCATCATGATGTCTACGTTCCCTTCGGTGATCTGAAAAGGCCAGCCGGATCCTCAGTCTTATGTCTTATGGGAAGGAGACCTCGAGAACGGCAACTAGGCGAGGGATTGGGGAACTCGCGAAAATTTTCCGCTGGTTTCTCTCGATATCTCCGGTCTTTGTACGTACCTTAGCTTTGACGATTCGCAGCAACCGCTTCATGTACATAGGCTCGGCGCCAAGTGAAGACGTTTCGCAAGTCGAAATTTTCGCGGCAAGTATTGAACAGATGGCTACGGACATTCTGTTCATGGCAGGGTCGTCGAAAAATACCAACGAGTCCAAAACCAGTTTGGCACAGTGGTAACGATTGAATGACTGGAAAATGTGCCACTCGTAAGTACGGAATCTACACAGAGTAATTTCAGGCTCCGGCTCCATATATGTATCATATGGATATCTTCGGCATCCTCGCACGATTACTCACGACATCCTGCAGAATCCTGTCCGAGCACAGCGTCAGAAGAGTATTCTTCTGCAGTTGTTGGTGCTTGGGATAGTTTTGCATGGCAGTTAAGGTGAGCTCGACGATTTTCTTCAGCCAGATCGGATGGATTTTCTGACCCAGCTGTCCTCTCGAGAGATTGTAGAGACACGCCGTCGCAGCCATTTGGATTCCGAGAGTCCTACAGTGTTTCTGCATGCCTGGCAGGATGAGCTCTATGATATCGACCCGCGGTTCGTTCATGTTCTGCGTGTACGAATAGAGATGATACAGCGATTTCTGCACGAAGAAACGTCGTTCGGGATATCGCTTGAGCGACTCGAGAACTTGTTTCTCCGTTCCGCAACCAGAAACGGTCAGCGAGAGGGTAGGACTGTTCGTGAACATGCTCTCATAGCACACTTCGGTTTCGGCGAGGCCCAAAAATTGCAGCGACGGGTGCGTATGGATGAAGGCTCTGCAATGGACGAGGAGTACGTTCAAATAACGCAGCACGTCGAATCTCAAGCGGGCGGAGCCTCTGTGATCCCGACGAGACCATGGAGTGACATCTCGGTACTTTATTTTACCTCAAATCGGAAATGTCGATGCCCTCCCGGCCCGATATATCGAACGACCGGAGATTAGGCAAGCTCTCGTATTCTTCCAACAGGAGTCTGATTGAGTGCTGAGGACCGGAGCCTTCCTGGGTGTATTGTCCACTGTCTCGGTCGCAGGAGATATCCAGGTTTTTGAGATTCGCCATGCAGGACAAGACGTTTATTGCGGTGGCCATGTCCAATTGGCGGAGATTGTACAGGTTCAGCGAGATCATACGGCCCGCGCAATTCCTGTGGAGGGAAGGGCTTTATTTAATTGTCTTTGGCGATCGGATACGCCGCGACGCTGCGTTCTCCACTCCCAGGCTATCAATACAGAACTCTCCCATGTTTCTCCCATACGGGAGGTCTTTCTCCACGCGGGGCATCGTCGAGCTGATCCGAAATCGCGGTGTTTTCTCTAGCGGCAGTTTTCTGTGTTAAATCATGATTCCCCGTCCATGGGACTGTCCTTGTCTCATTCCGAGTTCCGTGCACTATGACCTCGAGAACGAGGACCTGAACCGCGGAAATCTTCCGTAGCCCAAGGGGCCTTCTCGATGAACAACTTGTTCGAGATCGAGAATCGAACGCCTCCAGCCCCTATGCATTATTCGCAGAGATTGTGCAAAACGTATGAAGAGAGAACATTTGGTGATAGGAGGTATGACTCCTGACCGCCCGTGAGAAAGACGCATTTCTAGGCAATTGTTCGGAACTCGTAGTCCCGGCTCCCGGACCGCCAGAAAGTTTTCGCATCGGAATCCTTTTGAATCAGTGTCTTCCTACTGTCCCACTCAGCGCATTCAGCGGCGAAGAAAATTTCGGAGGCTGATCGAATTCGGCCTCCCATCACTGTTACGCTCTTCCTCGCTCGGAACACGAGGAGTTCCACTGATCAATGGAAACATCACTCCGGCGCTTCATAGTGTCTCGAATCTACCTACGGATCTCTCTCGACGAATCGACAGACTGGCGGTGCCGTCGCTGCTTATGCTGTTCGAATGTTTCCAAGTGATCAAACCGATAATGGCGAGGACGAAGAATTGACGTCATTAGCGTGAAGGATATGGCACAGGAGTGTACTCTGTTTTGAGGAAACTATTTTCGCCTAACTGACTCGAACCATTATTATTATTCTGACAGGCGACCACCACATATTTTTTCCGCATCGCTCTCATGGTTGGTATTCTGAATTCGTTTTCCGGAATTTTCGCTGAACGTTCCCACGCGGTCTGGACTCACGCAGTGTGATAGTGAATTCTAGGAGAACTATTTTCAACCAGAGGATGAACTTACTTCAAGGCTGAAATATCGGTTACTTTCGTCTGGGAAATATCGAGCACACTCAGATGGGGTAGGTCTCCCGCGACAATTTCGAGAGAGTGGGTATCGAATTCGGTGAAAGAGACGTTCAGGACTCGGAGGTTACGGAGCTTCGACAGCGAAATCACCACAGGGAGCGATGCTAGCCTGTTGCCGAACGATGAAACGCCAGGTGGAGTGAAGGCGGCCTCCGAAACGTTCAGAGATCGGAGATTCGACAGAGTCCATTCTCCTAAACAACTGATGAGATCATTTACGGTGACCTAGAGCGAGAGCAAAAGAAACAACAATCAGATATGTGGTCTGCGGCATGCACCTATACCAAGGAAATAGCTGCGAGACGGCTCTCTCTATTCGAGCCGCGGAGACCAAGGCCCGACATGAGTTCGCTGCTAGAACACTCAGGTTGAGAGCCGATGCCGAGTTCAAGGTTGTATTTCTCCGGCCCTTTCCTTCAAAGGGTGACAGAATGTGGTCATTAATTCCCATTCTAGGCATCTTTCCACATTCACGGGGGAAATTAAGGATCAAAGTTCAGCCTTGGAGAGGGCGAATTGAGGGAAGAACAACAGACGTGGAGTTTCCCGCACGCTAAAGGTTCATGGCCGCGCGGAAACTATCCACGCAATTCGACCTGTCGTCGTTTCGTTCCCATGTGAGTTTATCTCCATTCCCAACTTCCTCCTTCTCCGAGTGGCGACGACCCGTGAACGCTCCGCTGTCTGGCGAGACAAGCTTAATGAAGCTCCGTCACCGGAGGGCATCTATTTAAAGAGAGCGAGTCTGAAATGGCGGCGCTGCTCTCCTCTTCCAGCTCTCAAGCTTGAAACCGAGAACATTCGGACGTAGGTTCGTTCAATTCCCTCGATCGAACACTCTGAACATCAAAGTTACCGAGAAGCGAGGAGGAGAATTTCAGGGAAGTGGGGATAGGGAGATGACTTAGGAGAGCCGATAAGGTACACGGGAGGGAGAGACGATATTTTGAGGATATCTCGCCGCAGTGGGACGATCTGAGAGCGTTGGGCTCCAACCCCTTCATCCCAGTCCATTAGCCCGAAACGTCAGCTCCAATCTGCGGTATCGCGATTGGATTATGAAAATCGTTTAAAAAGTTTCCCAGCAGCGTCAACTTACCCTGACGAGACCGACAGCCTCGAGCTCGTGAATGTTGTGAGGTCGAAGAACTCGTAAACCCTGAGTCGACACGTGGGCGGCATTTTTGATGGTCACTCTTTCCAAACGAGTCGACCGGGTATCGAATAATGAGAGAACTTCGTCAGTCAGCCGACCCTGCAGGAAGAAGCAAAAAGAAAGAATTTAGACTCCTCGTGCTAGCTAGGATACCCAGACAGGCTCTGAAGGGAGACTCAGACGCTCCGAGACCTCAAAGATTTGAATTCTCCCGATTCAAAGAACAAGGTCGCCGCGTACACGCGAACCCCGGCTCCTCGTTGATGAAGCGGCCTTGGTCGTAGGAGGAGAAACTATCCAGCTTCACAATTGGTCTCGTTGGCGACAATGTTCGCGAGCTTGCGCCAGCCACATCATAAGAATTCGCTTTCTTCCCGCCAAAAATAGTTCCTGACATAGGTGGGGCAGATAGTCACCGCTCGCCTGGTTTGGCTCGGCTCGTTTGGTCAGGCGCGACGCTCTCATCCTTTTTCTCTAGTGATGCCCCTCGGGTGCTAGGGTATGTGATCGGCAAATCGAGCTCCGCGAAAAGATTCGAGCATTCACTGAGCTATCATACGGTTATCGAACTATCCACCTGAAGTCAGTCGATCGGATTCCAGCACCGGGAAGAGTTCCTGGCCGACTCCTCACTCTCGCAGCGGAGTCAAAGAACTCGCATTTTCCAGCGAGCCTAGAGTTCCGTCCAAAACAGGAAGGTATGACTTGCAACAAAATAGCAAAACACGAGGCGAGCTATCTACTGCAAACGCGAGGACCACGACAGTGAGGAGTGGTGACCCTATTTTTGATTCGATTTCGAGATAAGTCAGTTCAGCAGGCGAAGCTGGTTATCAAATGAGAAATGTCGAATGATGTGTCGCGCTAGATGACTCTGCATTCTCCTCTTTGCCTAAGAGCGAAGATTTTTGAAATACACCATCCAGCTCATTTTTTTTTGTTACACTCTTCCCATCGCAGCGAATATCTCGCCATAAGGAAGGATCACATGAAGCTGCTCCGGAAAGCGAGGAAACCGCTTCGATACTATGATGAGCGGCGGGAACTTCCAGGTCCGTACCCAATCGATACGGGAAAGCTAGCATTCATGAGGGATTGACCGTTAGGCAAGACGACGAACTGCAGACAGGGGAATCGGAGGGTCTTCCGGCAGAAGAAAAAATAACTTCAGTCGCGGGTTAGAGTCGATCACTGACCCGGGGGATGGACGACGAGAGGAATCAAATCGGGAGGAGAAACAGGGATTCCAAGCTCCATTTCATTTTATTTCGAATTCCTCGAGGGGAAATCGAGTCATTCAGCATCTGAGCCTAAAAAGGATTCGGGAGTCGGCAGACGGGACCCCCGACTTCGCTCATATATTTGCTTGATGAGAAGCAAATATGGGCCCGCGTTGATCTCGAAATAGTTCCAGAGGGAGTGGCTCACACCTTCCCCTCGAGTCGAGGTGGTTTCGTGCCGGGCTCCGGCACTCCCGGGGCGAATCCGGCGAGATTTGTTGCTCCGTGACAAAAAATGACTTGAATAATCGTATATGGATTTGCGTCATGGAATAAGTCCACGGTATCATGATCTGGAACAGCCGTCTCAGCCAGAGTCCGACAGTCATCCCTGCCCCTCCTCGCGCTTCACTTCCGATGGGCTCTCGGATTCTGGTCAGGTAAGGGAAAACCCGCTGTTGAGCTCGCAGTCGTCTCGTAGTGCTACTCCAATGAGTCGGCTCCTCTAAGGCGTCTCGGGGTATCGAGGGCTTTTATACGATTTGATCGGGCGATCCACCTCCCTTGGCTGTTACAACTGCCCGGTTCCACCCTCCTCGGTGGATAGTAAAACCCCGAATCCAGCCAGTCAGGGTTCAGGCCAACGAGCTATCGGCCAATGAGCAATTTTTCGTGAGAAAGCGAGCAGAAGGAAAGCAAAGGAGTTGGGGATGCTGTTCTACGTTTTATGACTCGTATGAGAGAACTGTGATGTTGCATCGAACGCGTTAACGGTTGCCGAGACCGCATCAGCTGATCAGTCAAGCCCAGCCGATTTACCCATCAGGGTCTCACTTCGAGCAATTTTTCCTATTGCCGAGATAATATTGGCGTCGATTCCACGGGAGAGACTCGAGTGTGATTTGAGGAGGGAATATCTCTGGTACATATTCGTCACCAGTGAATGCTTTCGAGAGAAAGGACTTCGAAACTGGTACTCTTGATACCCGAGAGACGACTCAGCACTCCGACCTAGTCAATAACAGCGGCTGACTTGACAAACTGTCTCACCTGTTCGGAGATGGTTTCGAGCAGGCTCTGAGAGAGGCCTTGGTGAAAGAAGACATCGGAATCCTTGAACACGTATCTGTGCTGCTCGTTCGGAGGGCTCTGGTCTCCGGTAGCGGATGGTGCAGGTTCGGTCCTACACACAGCCGACAAATTCATAGATATAAAATCTATGCAGTTCCTCTGCAGCGTCAGCGGAGAGTCGTACATCTTGCTTCTTCCGCGGCCGTCGGACTCGGGAGTCCGAACCCGAAGCTCACAAGAATCCAATTATACTCCAGGCATCTGGAAATGGAGATGAAATACGTTAGTCAATGAATTACATGGTCTTAGTCGGGTTGCTCCCTATTCGTTGACGAAAAAATATCCTGAACCCATCGCGGACGAGCACCTCAACTCCTCGATCGAGACCTACTCATGAGAGTCTAGACTCTAGACACTGTCGCGGTGCATTGCCATCAATTAAACAAGTTCTCCACCATCGTCCTCATCGAGTCGCTTGCCAAGGATGCAAATGTTTGATGAACATTTCACAAAGAGTTCCGAGCGGAAGCCTCGAGACTCTAAATGGCTAAATGAAGCCTCGAGATGATCCCGTGATCGACCGAGTAACTCAAAGCACTCCTCTCAGTAGGAGTTCTAGCAGTGTTGCTGCCAATCAAGTGCAAGGGGACGTCTGAGCTGAATCGCTGCTGAATTATTCGCGAGGAGGATGCCTCTCGTTGCTTTCTCAACGGGAGTACACATCTGCTTTGGGTCGAGCTGTTCATCTTTCCACAAAAACGAGCAATCGCGCTGAACGTATCGCCAGCTATTCGGGCGAGCGGAGGGGCAAGAAGACAAGATAGCCGAGAATTCTCGAGCGTTCGCGATGCAAGTACTTCATCGAGGTGAAGAGAGAGAGTGAAGCGGGAGACGTCCCCGTCGGACTGACCCAACGCCGACTAATCTGGCTACGGCGGGAGCAACTGAGTGATCTTTGCGAGGAGAACTTCGCGTCAGTCTGAAATCAGAGCCGCGACTCGCAAAGATAGAGAGCGAGGGAAGGTAGGAAAATCGGAAAGGGCGAGGAGAGGCCCTTACCAAAGGATGCCCACGTCTGCAGCAGTACAATCTATTCCAGCCGTAAAATCAAGCGATCGAGCGAGAGCCTACAAGCGATACAGCGCGTCAAGTCGACAAACGCCGCTACCATTTGACAAAGCGCGCCATTGCCGTGCATCCGATCGGCATTCTCGCAGCCTCGTCTTGTTGTTATGATCCAGGACTCCGTCGCTGGCGCGTTCGCTCGGCTCACGCCGGAAGCAGATAACTGCCAGCATCGAAAGAGGAGCTTGAGGCAGAGTACGGTAGCGAATCAGATAGCGGCACCAGACGGTTTACATTCCGATGTTTTGAGTTCAGGTCGACTCCGCGGTACTCCTCGCTGCGTCACCGGAGTATGAAAAGCCGTGGACGCAATTCCGGTCGCAGGGTCAGCTCAACGCCGACACGAGCGTTAGAGAATAGACCAAAGGACTCCTGGTTGTAATCCACAATCGATTGCATCCCCGGACTATGACTGAGCGGCTCTGGATGAGATATCGCAGATCTTCACGATCGTTATCAGCACGGCTGAGGTGAATGCTCGCCAAAACCGGCGGATATGTATCTCGAGTGGGTAACGTAGAGTAAAACGTATAATAGAGACCGACGATGATGTCTCGATTGACCGACTCGTCCTGGAAATCGATCATCGTCTTGCGCCTAAGTGCTTCAATGCTTGTCGGTCATGGTGACGCGGCCTCATCGGGCAATAACACGCCGGCGAATTGAGAGCCTTCCGGAAGATGCGGCAGGAAGCTCCGAACATCGCAACCGCCAGCTGAATTGCAGGGACGATTACGAGGATGCTCATGACGATCAATCCACAGACCACCGCTCGACTCGAGAGAGCGAGGCGATTGAACGAGCTAACCGAGCGGAACACGAAGAGGGAGAGAGCGCACAGCACTCTGTTGGCAGTCAGCAGGAGGTCGCTTTCCGAGTCGGCCCGTGATGAGGTGTAATTTGAGATCGAGATGATCGCCGCCGCGGCCGCAAAGATCAGTGTCAATATTATCATTTTCATTAAGAGCGAAGAGCAAATGCTCTCCACTAGGTGGACAACGGAAGCGGAGGGAACAGGGCTGGGTTGATGCCCTTCCTCGATTCCCTTCGCACAGCAACGGATCGCCGATGCTCGATTCGTTCGGCCGTCGAGCCGGCTTTGATCATCCAGGGAAAAGGAAGCGGGCGAGTCAACGGGCTCCCAGAACTCTGAGGAAGATTTTTCGGAGGAGAGCGACCTGTCCTCGATCACGGCGAAATCGTTGAAGACCGTCCCAGTAAGAACGCAATGGCGAGAAGTAGCTCGCGAGCAAAGAGGCGAATGTCCTGAATAAGAGTAGGGCGGAATACCTCGTGATTCATGCGACCGATGCTACTCTCTAATCGTTCCTTTCAAAAATTCAGGTCTGGGCAACGCAACGCGTGGGAAACATCACCGGACGAGCAGAATGAGAGATGGCCAAGAAAAATAGCTCCTAGCCCACGGTTCTCAGAGACTCTTCCTCGAGTCTGTGATTGACGCCAGGCTTCACGAATTTTCGGGCAGCATTTGAGCATCTCTCGGGTTCAAGAGGCGTCGAGGCGCTCATTCAAGCGAGCGAAGCAACCGCGAGATCTCGTGTCTCAGCGAGTAGCTCTAGACGCTGAAGCGAATCTGGCACTCTCGAAGTAACCCGTTCTTCTAACCCACTTTTAAGTAGTGCGTCCTCCACTCGAGCGGGCAAGCTTCATCGGATCGGTCATCTAATCAACAACAACGCAGTCAATCGAGCTCGCGAACAAACAAGTCGTCGTGTAGTTCTTTGGGAAAATACGAGACACCCACGTCCCCATTCCAACGAGAAAAACAAAATTGCACATGTCCGTCTTGGCAGGACGTCAATTCCACCATTGACTAGCGACTCCATTATCCAGAACACATGCGAACTTTTCGAGGCATAAATGATGACCGCGGAGCGCATTTTCCGCGCCCAATGATCGAAACCAGATCGACCTGGTCCTACATTCTGTACTTCCCTTGTCATTCTTCATACTCTGGCGATCTTAAAATAACATTTCCTGTCATAATACGGTGATAATGAAAATATTCCGTGTCTTCGTAAGATCCGAGCACGGAAATGTTTACGGAGACGAGGCGGATGCTCCTTCACCTCACAAAACCGGTATGGATCTGTGCTCCCGAGTAAACATTTGTTCAAGCGAGCATTGCCTTGTGACGGGTGGACGACTCGGGGTGAAAGAATGCATACCAAGGAACAGATGCTGAGAATCGGTATATAGCTCAAAAGGATGTCGGAATCGACCTCTGAAAATCCAAACCAGTGCCACACCGGACTCTGTGTTATTCTGTGTTATGAGAGATAGGTACAACGCAGGCGGAGAGGGTCAGCCGGAGACCCATCGGGGTCATGAGCTCCGGCAATCCGCGACATGGGTGTGGTTCCGGAATACAGTCTTGACAACGACGGGGAGGTGAAGCACTCCGACCGGGCTCGATATGTCAAAGATCTATCGAGTTCCTCTCGGATGGAATGCGTCGGGCTCGTTCGAGGGGAAACGCTCCCGGGTGTGCTGGGTTTCCACCCTGTGGGGCTCCTTCCCCCGATCTAATCGAGTAAAAATGAACCGGTCCAAACTTCATCCCCTCCGGCGAACGAGGCGGCTTATACCGCTGTAAGGGAGGATGTCTACCCCGAACCAACGTCAGGATTTCAGAGCCATCGCTGCTGGCATTCGTTTTCGTACATGTGCGTCTCTAACGTTCGTCAGATTATCAGACAAGCGGAAAAATCCGTGGAGGAGGGCTAGCAGGAACTAGCCAACCCGGATGATAGGGAATGCGTGCGGATGTAGATGGGTACCAGGCAGGTGTAGAGAGCCCGGCATGGATAGAAATAAGGGGGCATTTTCCCAGACACGAAATGTTCGTCTACCGTCGATAATCCCCTACTCTCGATATCCCTTGAGATAGCATTATTTTTTGTCCTTCAACCGCGGGGAACGCAGACGAGAACAGATCACAATAGAAGGGAGAAGCTCCGAGAGAGAAGATTGTCTTTTTTCGAATATGCCGAGGACACATTGATGGCCGCCGTCCTTGAGAGAACAGTATCGTTGTGAAATGTCTCAACGAATACTCTCCAGGTCCCGGTAGCCGACCTCCTCCCATGGTTTCGTGCATGTATATGAAGTCCCTTGAGAGCACGAACCTACGTTCTCCGGAGAGAAAACAGACTCTGCCCGATCCCGGAAGGATAGCCAACAAAAACCGAAATGGTAGGCTGTCAAGCGGGCAAGTCGGCCGACGATCGTTTGGTCACGCAGTAAAGGAAGGTCTTCCAGATCCGCAGGATCTTCGAGAGAGAGCTTCTGGCCGAGTTCGCCAACATCATAGAGAAGCCCATGCGTTCCATTAGATGTGCATCTGGCGAATCTGCCGGTCTGGCATATCTGTCGTTCTTTATTTGACGTGGAGAGCTTCGACTGTAGGATGTCCCGAGAGAGCTTTTGTTTCAGCCGTCTCTGCCGAGGTTATGACATTGAACCGAGGCTTCGGCCGGCTGCTCGGTCGTTTGGTCGGTCGATCTCGGAAGCCTTAGAAGCCCGAGCTACCAGGACACCGTGCGACGAACGAGGTTCAGAAAGGCCAAGGGGATGATGCTTTCCTGGCGGAGACGAAAAACACGAAGACGTTACAGGATACGACGACCGGTCGGCCCCATCAATAAATGACGACGCGCCTCGTACATCCAGTCGGTCGAATGCGAGACAGAGCTGTCAATGGTGATATTACGAGCGACAGAGAGCTTGCAAGAAACACATTTTTATAGTGAGACAAATAGTGAGACAAGCTCCGATCATAAATACGCAGGAATTGCTGGCTGGCGAGAGACTGGTCGGATCGTTCCCTTTAGAAACCACTTCCTCATGACCGGCGGCAGCTTCCTCCAAAGGAGAGAAACCCCGCCGCCGCTGCCGCAGCAGCCATTGCCGGATAAATAAACAAACATCTTATATTGTACAAACGCTTCTCGCCACACCACTCTGATGCTGCTGCTGCCTCGACCCACCATTGGCGGTCCATAACGACAGTGGAAAATGCGGTTGTTGGCATCGTCGTT